AAAATATGGCAAAAATCATTAAAATACCGAATATCGAGAGGTACCTTTATATGGGGACTATATCAAAACGTGGACCTATACATACATTATGACCTACAAATCCGAATGTCGGGAGGTACCGTTATATGGGGGCTATACCACAACGTGGACCTATACATGCAATGTTTGGCCACAGGAGCTGGAACCCGTTATGACCTACAAATACCAATTTTCAGACAAATCCGTGAAAAAATGTGGCATAAATCATCAAAATACTGAAGATCGGGAGGTACCATTATATGGGGACTATACCAAAACGTGGACCGATATATCTCATTTTCAATACCAACCATCCTAGACGCAATGCAAATTGCTCTACTAAATTTTGGCGCTCTACGTCAAATAATGTATCGTGCCTGTATCGTGATTTCAACAGACAGACAGACGGACAGACAGACGGACATCGTAAAATCGACTTAGAATTTTATGCTGATTATGAATATATATACTTTATGGGGTCTACGACGAATATTTAAAGATGTTACAAACGGAATGACAAAGGTAATATACCCTCCTTTCCAAGGTGGAGGGTATAATGAAGAGGGAGCTCTTCTTAGGTAGTCTTGAAATTTTCTAGAGAAAGCTAAGAGTCCTTTCTAACGAAGTCTTGGAATTTTGTTTTGAAAATTGTGGCTACATATGGCGAAGCTTAATGGGAATTGAAATTCTCCATGGACAATTGTTTGGCTTCTCTTTGGGATATCAATAACTTTCCATAGGAAATTGTGCGCATCAGATTTGGGATGAAATTTGGGACCAAGATTTTCGAATATATAGGGTGAGATAAGAAAACTGTAACAAAGTCAAACGCCATTACGTTTACATTCTTTTTTTAAATTTTATGTCGGAAATAGCATCAAATTTTAGAATATGTTTAGATTTGTTCGAATTGGTCACCTTTTGCCAAATGGAATATTGCGATATGTTCAGCTCATGAGCCATTTCTCGGCCACTGCAACGAGGGGTTTCGATCAAGTCTCTTCTTTACTTTTCGAACCATTTCTGCTGATGTTGCTATTTTTTTCCGTCCACTTCCATGACGTCGGGCTACGCTGCCAGTATCACTGTAATGAGCGATGGTACGCGGCACGACAGATTTACCACATCAAGGTTTCCTATCATAGAAACATGGTCGGAGACTAAAGTTTTCTACCATCGAAACCTTGGTGGAGACCAAGGTTTTCTATCATAGAAACATGGGTGGGGATCAAGGTTGCATCATAGAAACCTGGGTGGAGATCAAGGATTTCTATCATATAAATCTGGGTGAAGACCAGGGTTTTCTGTCATAGAAACCTGGATGGAGACCAAGGATTTCTAATATAGAAAGCTGGGTGGAGACCAATGTCATCTATTATAGAAAGCTGAGTGGAGACCAAGATTTTCCATCAAAGGAAGCTGGGTTGGAGTCCAAGGTTTTCTATCATAGAAATCTGGGTGGAGACAAAGGTTTTGCATCATAGAAGCCTGGGTGGAGACTATGGTTTTCTATCATAGAAACCTGGGTGGAGATCAAGGTTTTGTATTATAAAAACCTGGGTGGAGAACAAGGTTTTCTATCATTGAAGCTGGGTGGAGACTATGGTTTTCTATCACAGAAACCTGGATGGAGATTAAGGACTTCTGACATAGACACCTGGTCGGAGACCGAGATTTTCTATCATAGAAACCTGGGTGGAGACCAAGGTTTTGCATCATAGAAACCTTGGTGGAGACCGAGATTTTCTATCATAGAAACTTGGGTTGAGACCGAGATTTTCTATCATAGAAACCTATATGGAGACCAAGGCTTTCTAGCACAGAAACCTGGGTGGAGATCAAGGTTTTGTATCATAGAAAGCTGGGTGGAGACCTAGGTTTTCTATCATAGAAACCTGGGTGGAGGCCAAGGCTTTCTATCATAGGAACCTGGGTGGAGACCAAGGTTTACTGTCATAGAAACCTGAGTGGAGACCAAGCTTTTCTATCATAGAAACCTGGGTGGAGACCAAGGTTTTCTATCATAGAAACCTGGGTGGAGACTAAGGTTTTCTATCACAGAAACCTGGATGGAGACCAAGGTTTTCTATCAAAGAAACCTGGGTGAAAACCAAGGTTTTCTATCATAGAAACCTTGGTGGAGACTATGGTTTTCTATCATAGAAACCTAGGTGGAGACCAAGGTTTTCTATCCTAGAAATCAAGGTTTTCTATCATGGAGACCAATGTTTTCTATCATAGAAATCTGGATGAAGACCAGGGTTTTCTATCATAGAAACCTGGGTGAAAACCAAGGTTTTCTATCATAGAAACCTTGGTGGAGACTAAGGTTTTCTATCATAGAAACCTAGGTTTTCTATCATGGAGACCAAGGTTTTCTGTCATAGAAACTGGGTGAAGACCAAGGTTTTCTATCATAGAAACCAGACGAAGGTTTTCTTAAAGAAAATTATTGAAGACAAACTTTTTCCATTATCCTCCCTAGAACATTTGGTGAAGACCACCTCTTTCCATTGAGAACTTTGTTGAAGGGCATGGAATGTCATTTGAAATCCAGTCTATCATTGAAATCCAAGTTTAAATTTTCTGCCTGACCAATTTCCCTACCAATTCCCAATATTTTTGTCGTTAATTGCTTTTGAATTTGGCCAAAGTCCATTAAATTATTTTTATCACAGTTTGGCTTTATAATAAAAAAAGAAAACAATAAATATTTAAATTTTTTCATACATTTCTATATTATATACATGCCCATGGAAACAATAACTGTAATTATTTTCAATTAAAGCTAATTAGATAACGCGTGATCGATTTCAAATCACATTTGGCGGCATTTTTCAATTGTGGGAAAACATGTCGATCAATCAAACCACCTATGTAATGCAAAAAAAAAAAAAAATAAATAAATATAAAAAATTTATATATTTTACAAAACTATTTTTGGTAAGACAGGGGACGTGTTAAAAATAGAACTTTCCATTTCCGGGTGTTTCCCCGTTCTACAACATGTGTTAACTAAATTAATCTTATCAATTGGTTTTGGAGAGAGAGAGAGAGGGAGAGAAAAAAATAGCCTGTAATACGTCACATTTCCCATGTTTGGCCCATTCACGATATTGATATTGTTATCAACCTGGCCTTAATAACACACCTCATCAATATTTCAAAGAAAAAAAGAAAAAAACTTAATAATTGTTTTATATTTACATACTTACTAATTTTGCCTTGCTAACACCTACTCGAATGCTGTTGTCCGGTCTGGTGTTTCTTTAAGTTTTTATAGAATGTTAACTAAGTGAATCAATGAAGTATGATCGAGTGAGTGTCTAAGTAGGGGAGAGAGATAAGAATTTGATAAGCAAAAGACATTCATAAAAAATAAATAAATTAGCTTTTGCAAAAAAAAAATGAAAGTAGTGGAAATCTCCTTTCTTTGTGCAACGTCATTTTTACACAGGTTAACAGTTCTCAATGGAAAGTCAAGGTCGAAAACTTTGGTCTCCACCCAGGTTTCTATGATAGAATACCTTGGTCTCCACCCAGGTTTCTATGATAGGAAACCTTGATCTCCACCCAGGTTCCTATGACCTTGATCTCCACCCAGGTTTCTATGATAGAAAACCTTCATCTCCACCCAGGTTTATGTAATAGAAACCCTTGGTCTCCATCCAGGTTTCTATGATAGGAAACCTTGGTCTCCACCCAGGTTTCTATGATAAAAAACCTTGGTCTCCACCCAGGTTTGTATGATAGAAAACCTTGGTCTCCACCCAGGTTTCTATGACAGAATTCCTTAGTCCCCAACCAGGTTTCTAGGATAGAAAACATTGGTATACACCCAGGGGTCTAGGATAGAAAACCAAGATCTCCACCCAGGTTTCTATGAAAGAAAACCTTGCTCTCCACCCAGGTTTCTATGATAGCAAACCTTAGTCTCCACCCAGGTTTCTGTGACAGAAAACCTTGCTCTACACCCAGGATTCTATGATAGAAAAACTTGGTCTCCACCCAGGTTTCTATGATAGAAAACCTTGGTCTCTACCCAGGTTTCTATGACAGAATACCTTGGTCTCCATCCAGGTTTCTATGACAGAATACCTTTCTATGATAGAAAACCTTGGCCTCCACCCAGGTTTCTATGATAAAAAAACCTTGGTCTCCACTCAGTTTCCTATGATAGAAAACCTCGGTCTCCACCCAGTTTCCTATGATAGAAAACCTCGGTCTCCACCCAGGTTTCTATGATAGAAAACCTTGGTCTCCAACCAGGTTTCTCTGACAAAATACCATGAACTCCGCCCAGGTTTCTCTGACAGAATACCTTTGTCTCCACCCAGGTTTCTAAGATAAAAAAACCTTGGTCTCCACCCAGTTTTCTATGAAAGGAAACCTTGGTCTCCACCCAGGTTTTTATGAAAGGAAACCATGGTCTCCACCCAGGTTTCTATGATAGGAAACCTTGGTGTACCTGCAGGTGTCTAGGATAGAAAACCTTGGTCTCCACACAGTTTTCTATAGAAATCTCTACCTTCCCCGCGAGGTTTTCCCTGCCAAACCGTTTTGTGGATGATGAAACTTTTTTTAGATTCACAATTATTTTTATTAATCCAACTCAACTATTGGGCGCCACAAATGGCGCTCTTTGGGGGATTTTCCCAAAATTGCTGTCGTGTGACATTCCGTTAAGACCTTTCGAGAATAAGTTACTAATTGAACGTTCGACATGAGTGACACACTATTGACTCTCCACATTACTACTTCCTTTAGATTACTCATCGAACGAAATCTTAAGCCGCCATCCATCAATCAAATTATTTGTGCAGTTCTTTTTTTTTTGGCAATTTCATTTTGTGTTGAAACCTACAAATGGCTGGCATATGATTCCAAAACGTTTAGTCTATAACGAAACTTTGGAGAAATTGTAGGCAAAGAACAATATTTCTGGAGAAGTGAAAAAAATCGAAATTAGAATTCCAAAAAAAAAAAATTAAGAAAAAATGGAGAAAGGTAGTTTTTGAAGAAGAAGAAAAAAAAGCGGTTTTGAAATTTTATTGGAAATAAAAAAATATTTTTTTATATTTTTTTCCAGTAAGTATTCTCCTTTTTGTGGCCCTGATGGCCCTCTCTGTGGATACTCTGAAGGCTGATAGCTTTGTCAGCGATACCCTTTGCTATTCGAAGGCGGACGGAACTCTGCTGAGAATTTCGGATACCTGTAGCAGCTACATTTATTGCCTGAGCCAAAAAGCCCTTACAATCAACTGTCCCTCCGGTATGGGTTTCAGTAGCATGGCTCGTGGTTGTGTCCAATATTCACAGTCGGACTGTGCCAATGAGAAATCGAATGTAGTGCACTTTGAAACACAAAGTTCCGTGAATACCGATTCGACGGCCGATTCCACTTTCAGTTGGAGTATTTGCTACTCTCAGCGTGATGGCGCCTCCTTCCCGATAAAGGGTGATTGCAGAATGTTCATCTATTGTCTGGCCGAAATGCCTCTACCGATACCGTGTCTGTTTGGTAAGGGCTATAGTACGGCCTTGGGTATATGTGTACCCTATGATCAGTCGGATTGTGTGATAACATCAACGACCAGTACAACAGTGGCAACATCGAGTAGTACATCGGATGAATACACCACATTATCGACTTTGACGACAACATCGGCAAATATTCTGCCGGTTACAACTCCAACTGGTTCTACAACATCTCAGGTTGAAACCACATCCGCAGCAACAACAACCGTAGCTCAGAGTACAACCTCTGAAACTACCACTGGAGCTCCAACCACAACCTCAGAGACCACCACTGAAGTTGCAACTACAACATCTGAAGGTACAACTCAAACCACAACACCTGCAACTACAACTTCAGTTCAGACTACCACCTCGGAGAGCACCACAACCCCTGAAACAACAACTGCAGCTCCAACCACAACCCCTGAAACAACAACTGCAGTTCCAACCACAACATCTCAAACTACGACAGAAACTGACACCACAACCTATCCCAGCACAACCACAACATCTGTCAATACAACAAATCCTACAGTGAACATTCCACTGACAGTGTTGCCACTTACGAGCACAACAGCTGGTCCTACAACAAATACCACAGCAGGAGATTCGACAACAGAAGAGCCTACAACTCAAACTGCAACCACAACAGTTGGTTCCACGACCACAACTTTCGAAACTACGGCATCGGAAACTCCAGTTACGACCCCAACAACCACATCGCCCCTTACATCACAACCCACTATTCCACCAATTACCACCCCCACCACACCCAATCCCAGCCTATCAATCCTGCAAGAACTTTGTAAAAATAAGACAGCCGGCAGCCATGTCCCATATCCTTATGACGACACCGAATATGTCATCTGTCCCAATCCCTCGCCGGAAATTGTTAAATGTCCCACACACTCGGAATATGATCCCAAGACGGGCCAATGTAAATCGGATATTGGTTTCATAAATATGCCCCATTGTTTGGAGGTCGCCTACGGTCAGGCCATACCGTTCATCGGTGATTGTACCAAATATTATCTTTGCTTTGGCAAAAAAGCAATGAATAAAATTTGGCAATGCGAAGTGAATTGGTTGTTCAATGCCGAACTGGCCAGCTGTGTACCCCAGGAACTTTATCAGTGTCCTTGGTAAACTTCCGAGTAATATTTAAAAAATCAAAACATTTAATCATTAATTTATTAAAACAACAACAACAAAAATCGAACAAATATTTAAAAATCAAAATAGAATAAAGGCTTAAAGAGAAAGAGAAAACATTTTGTGTGTCTTGGCTACTCGAGGCACTCTCTCGGGTCAGAGGAAAAGAGAGGGAGAGAGAGAGATAAGTAGATTTTGGGGTACATTGTTCAAGGGCCTGCTACGCTTTTGTATTTGACAAGTGATGCCGGCTACTCTGCAGAAATTGACAACAAAGCTTGCTAATCTACATAAGTTGGCAACTGGGGTCAACTATTCTGCAGTAGTATGCAACAGACTAGAACTACTCTACAACGACTTTAATTGGGGACAGTTACTTTACAGTAATTGGCAACTGAGACCAGCTTCGGCAGAATAGTTGGCAACTGTGGCCACACAAGCTGGCCAAGCTACTCTACACCAGTTTTCAGGTGAGGCGAGTTACTCGTCAGTTGTTTACAGCTGCTCTACAGTAGTTGGCAACTGAGGTCAGCAACTCTACAGTAATTGTAACTGATGCTTGCTAATATACATCAGTTGGCGAGCGAGGTTAGCTATCCTGAGGCCAGCTGTTCTAGAGTAGTTGAAAACTTTAGTACAGCTTCTGTTGAGTAATGGCAACATAGGCAAGCTACTCTTCACCAGGTCTCACTTGAAGGCCAGTTACTCAATAGTTGTTTACAACTGTCCCAGCTGCTCTACAGTAGTTGTCATGTACATTGCACTAGTTGGCAACTCAGGCAAGCTACACTGCAATAATTGGCAACTGAGCCTGGCTATTTTACAACAGTTTTTAAGTTATTTAATTGTAGTTGACAACTGAGGCCGGCTACTCTGCAATAGTTGGCAATTTTCCCTATTCTACATCAGTTGGCAACTTAGGAAAGTTACTCTACAGCAGTTGGCTACTCTTCACTAGTTGGCAACTGAGGCCAACTACTCCAGAACAAATTGGAATAAGAAGTCTTTGTGATGATCAACTCTACAATTTAGGGCTCTGATGCAAGCTGAACTATAATAGAGGCCATTTTTGATAGCTAGCCGGAAGAAGAGTCCTCTGAGACAAGTTATTCAATATTAATTAGGCTCACCAGATGCCAGATATTTCAAAGTACTTGGCAATTGAGGTGAGCCAAACCATAGTAAGTCCAGCTACTCAACACTAGAGGTATCTCAGGTCAGTCATTTCAGAAAAGAGATTTTGAGGGCAGATATTCTGTAATAGCAATTATTAAGGTCACTAGACTAATTCCAGGTATTCTCTATTCTACATCAGACCCGCTACTTCCGAGAAGTTGGCAACATTGACACATGTTGCCAACTTCTCCAGAAAAATATAGCTACCTGTCACTAGTTGGCAACAAAGGCTAGCTACTTCCGAGAAGTTGGCAACAGAGGCCAACTACACCAGAACAACTTGAAATAAGAGTTCTTTCAGATTAGCTACTCCACAACAGAGGTCAGTGAAGCCAGCTGAACTACAATAGATGTAATTTCTGATAGCTAGCCGGAAGAAGAGTCCTCTGAGACAAGTTATTCAATATTAATTAGACTCAAAAGATGCCAGATATTTCAAAGTAGTTGGCAATTGAGGTGAGCCAAACCATGGTAAGTCGAGCTTTTCAACACTAGAGGTCTCTCAGGTCTGTAATTTCAGAAAAGAGACTTTGAGGACAGCTTTCCGCAAAAGCGATTATTAAGGTCACTAGACTAATTCTAGGTATTCTCTATTCTACATCAGGCTAGCTACTTCCGAGAAGTTGACAACATTGCCCTCTGTTGCCAACTTCTCCAGAAAAATATTACTACCTTTCACTAGTTGGCAACTGAGGCTAGCTACTTCCGAGAAGTTGGCAACAGAGGCCAACTACACCAGAACAACTCGAAATAAGAGGTCATTGAAATTAGCTACTCCACAACAGAGGTCAGTGAAGCCAGCTGAACTACAATAGATGTCATAACTAGCCCGAAAAAGAGTCTTCTGAGGCAAACTAAAGCATAGTAAGGCCTGCTACTCTATACTTGAGGTCTCTAACGTCAGTAAATGCAGAAAATATACCTTTGAAATCAGTTACTCTATATTAGAGGTCTTTAAGGTTAGCTAACACTAAGGCCATGTATTATCTACTCTACAGGAGTGGGGAATTGTGGCCAACTATTCTACAGCAGTTGACAACTGAGGCCAGCTGGTTTCGAGAAGTTGGCAATTAAACCATATCCATAAACCATAGTTACACCTGCTACTCTACACTTGAGTTCTCTAAGGTCAGTAACTCTAGAAAAGAGACCTTCGAGATTAGGTACTCTATATTAGAGGTTCTTTAAGGTCAGCTAACACTAAGGTCATGTATTCTCCTCTCTACAGGGGTGGGCAATGGTGGCCAACTACTCTACAGCAGTTGGCAACTGACGCTAGATACATTCGAGAAGTTGGCAAACCATAGTGAGACCAACTAAATCATAGCAACGCCTGCTACTCTACACTTGAGGTCTCTAAGGTCCGTAACTAAAGAAAAGAGACGTTTGAGGCCAAAATAAGACCAGGAATTCTATACTCTACAGCTGTTGACAAATGAAGTCAGCTATTACACAGCAGTTAGCAACTTCCTAGCAACTCAAAAAAAGAGGATGGTGATATGAGCTACTCTACAATAGAGGTCTCTGCAGCCAGCTACTCTACAATAGAGTCAAATTTTAATAGAAACAATCAACTCCCTAAAAGAGTCCCCTGAGACAGGTTGCTCTATAGTAATTGGACTAGATTACCAGACATTTCAAGGTAGCAATTGATGCCAGGTAATCCACAGTAGAGGATGTTAACACCCACTACCCTACACTAGAAGAAAATGAGAATTTGAGACCAGCTACTCCACTCTAGAGGTCTCTAAATTCAGCTGCTCAAGACACAATATTTTTGAGGACCACCAGAAGTAAATGAGGTCAACTCTGGGTCAGTTTCTGTAGTAGAGACCTGTGAAGTAAAAATATTGTCTAAATTAATTACAGTATTTTACTACAAAATTGTTTTTATTTTTGCCAAATCATTTATTGTGTATTTATCGCATTTATGACTTACCTTGTTAAATTAATTAAAAAATGGGAAATAAAATCTCAAAACAATTTATTTGCCACAAATGTTGTGATACATGTTCTTAAAATAGATAATGTCCATAGCCGATGTTCGGCGAAAATTAGTTGAAACACTTATCGCTCCACTTGTAGCCGCACATTGTGTGCGCGCGGTAATCTAACAGGAAAATGATAAACAATTAATCAAACGATGTCTTAAGCCAAAATAATACACTTTTTCCTAGAAAGCACCTTATTAAACGAAAATTTTAATTTGATATTTTTAGTCTATAACGAAACTTGAAATCGATCGGTTATATTGTACTAAAAGAAAACTATCGAAGGCGGTCGTCGTAAAATTGAATATGAAAAATTGTTGAATTTCAAGAAAATCATAAAAACAGAAACATGATACCAAAAGGTGAACAATTTGTTAAAAATCCGTTGCACATAAAATAAATTATAAAAATTGTGCTTTGAGTGGGAATTAATTGAAAAAAGTTAAAATTGAACTGATATTTTTTTGTAGATTTAAAGGGAAAATAAGTGAAAAAATAATTTTTCCTAGGATTTCAAAAAGGATTTTTGAAATCATGTTTTTTTTTAAGAAAATTTGTTTTTCCAAGGATTAACAGACAACCAAACGAGATCTTTTTAGAAAGACTTTCCAAGACTAAAAGAATTTTTTCAAGAATCAAATGTTTAAAAACCTAGATTTTTTGGGAAGATCACCAATCGTAGATTCCTAAAAAGGATTCTTTGAAGGATCAATAGTCTAACAAAAGTGGATTTTTTCAAAAGATTTTGTCCAAGTTCGAACCTAAAGTTGATTTTTAAGAAGTGAATGATTGGTAGTTAAATTTCGGAAAAGAACTTTTTTTGGTGGTTGCAAACACCAAAAAAAGTTCTTTCCCGGAATTTAACTACCAATCATTCATTCCTTAAAAGATTTTTAATCCAAGAATTAACATGGATTTCTAAAATTTTTTTCCAATGACCAATGGACCACTGAACTTTGAATTAAAAAAAAAATTTAATCCAAGGATCAATCCAGATCACCGAACGTACATTTTTCTAGAGTATTTTTGCGAAATTTTCCTAAGTTTTAATATCTGCGTGGATTTCTATTTCCATGGAAATCTTTTTCCTGGGGTATACTGTCCTCGATCATAAATTATTAAGCAGAAATAATTTGCGACGATGGCAACGCGAATGGGTATTTTTCCTACCTTGTGTATCCATTTGTTGTGTAAATCGTTGCAAATTTAAATAGCTTTTGTTGTTTATCCCCGAACTTGAAGAGTGATATTCAGTCCAGTCATTAATTTTCGTGCGGAATTCTATTCTATTTTTTCCAAAGATAATTTATGCAATCATAAATAACAGAGGGAAAATAATTTGCGACGATGGCAACGCGAAAGGGATATTTTTGTACCTTGTGTATCCTATTTGTTGTGCAAATTGTTGTAAATTCAAAGTGTAATTTATAGTAATTTATATCCGCGAGGATTTCTATTCCCATTGAAATAAAATTTATTAAATCATAAATAATAGAAGAGAGTTAATTTGCGACGATGGGTCTTTTTCGTACCTTGTGTATCCTTTTTCTTGTGCAAGTTATTGCGAATTTAAAGCCTCCGAATTTCAAGTGTGATTATCAGCTAAGAAATTCTATTCCCACGGAAAATATTCTATCGAAAAATAATTTATTCAATCATTAATAATTGAGAAAAAATAATTTGCGACGATGGCAACGCGAATGGGCCTTTTTCGTACCTTGTGTATCCTATTTGTTGTGAAAATTGTTGCGAATTTAAAGCGTTTTTGTTGCCCATCCCCGAATTTGAACCAAGTGTGATATTCAACCCAGTAATTTATATCCGTGAGGAATTCTATTCCCACGAAAAATATTCTATCGAAATATAATTTATTAAATCATAAATAATTGAGAAAAATAATTTGCGACGATGGCAACGCGAAAGGGTTATTTTTGTACCTTGTGTATCCTATTTGTTGTGAAAATTGTTGCGAATTTAAAGCGTTTTTGTTGCCCATCCCCGAATTTGAACCAAGTGTGATATTCAACCCAGTAATTTATATCCGTGAGGAATTCTATTCCCATTGAAATATAATTTATTAAATCAATTTGCGACGATTTGTCTTTTTCGCACCTTTTGTATCCTATTTCTTGTGCAAATTATTGCGAATTTAAAGCCACCGAATTTTAAGTGTGATTATCAGCCCAGGAATTCTATTCCCACAGAAAATATTCTATGGAAATATAATTAATTAAATCATAAATAATGGAGGAGAAATAATTTGCCACGATGCCAACGCGAATGGGTCTTTTTCTTACCTTGTGTATCCTATTTGGTGTACAAATTGGAAAAACTTAAAATTGTTTTCCAGATCATTCCCGAACCTGTGTGTGATATTCAGCCAAGTCATTGATATCCGCGAGTAATTCTATTCCCTCGAAAAATATTCTATCGAAATATAATTTATTAAATCATAAATAACAGAAGAGAATTAATTTGCGACAATGGCAATGCGAATGGGTATTTTTCGTACCTTGTGTATCCTATTTTTTGTACAAATTGGTGCAAACTTAAAATGCTTTTGTTGCTCATTCCCGATTTGAGACGATGGCAATGCGAATAGGTCTTTCGCACCTTGTGTATCCTATTTGTTGTACAGATTGTTGCAAGTTTTAAGTGATTTTTTATAATAATCAAGTAAATTTAACCTTTGCTGCTTTGTAGTGGAGGCCTCTTTGATAAGGGGCCTTTAAAGCCAGCTGCTTTACATTGAAGATTTTTGAGACTAGCTACTTTACAATGGATACCTGTAATGTCAGCTATTCCATAGCAGAGTCTTCTGAGGCCAGGTCAGTGGCCTTACATTGAACATGTCCGAGGCCAGCTACTTTAGAGTATAGCTCTCAGTGGTTAGCTTATTCACATTTAAGGTTTCTGGGGCCACCTATTTTTTAGTGTAGAGCTCTTGAGTCCAGCTACTTCAAATTGAGATTAGCTACTCTAAAGTAAAAAGGCCTGAGGACTGTTGGATTACAGTACTGGATTATAAAGCCATTGGCTCTATAGTGTACAATAGGTAGTTTTTATTTATTCCACATTTAACTATTCTCTGTTCAGCTGCTATTGAACTAAGTAGTTGGCCTTCTACTCACTCGTATTTATTGCTCCTCACATATATACGAAAGTTTTGGGAATCATAATAATCCTGGTTATTGTAAAATATTTCAATGCAAAGACAAGTATGTCTAGTCTTCAACCTACATACTTTAACAAACAAATGCATGTAAACAACAAGGTGAAAAGTAGTTATAAATACGAGTGAGTGAGAGAGAGCCACTTATGTCGTCACAATGAGAACTGTAAAACTGAGACTAATACATAGAGAAAAACATATGGAAAAGACAACACAAAAACAAGTACAAAAGATATAAGTTCGACCGGGCCGAACTTTGAATACCCTCCACCATTTGGAACGAATTTGGCAATTTTCAAAATAAAAAAAAATCCGTAAACAATTCTAAAAACTACCGAATGTAGCCATTATTTTAGGGTCTATACAATGACGTGGACCTGCATCGGCGGATACCATTATATGGGGGCTATTGAAGACTTCGACCTGCACAGACAATTTTCTGTCTTCGACTATAGTATCCATTACGAATTTCAAATACCAAATTTAAAACAATTCCGGTGGCTGTAGTATCCATTACGAACTTCAAATACAAAATTTGAAACAATTTCGATGAATAATGTCGGTAAAATCATCAAAATACCGAATATGGGGAGGTACCGTTATATGGGGGCTATATGAAGATGTGGACCTGTACACAACATTTTCTGTCATAGGCTGTAGTATCCATTACGAACTTCAAATACCAAATTTGAAACAATTCCGGTGAATAATATCGCTAAAATCGTCAAAATACCGAATAGCGGGAGGTACCGTTATATGGGGTATATACCAAAACCTGGACCTACATGACCCATTTTCAATACCAAAAGTCCTGCAGACATAATATACATTTGAGTAAAATTTTATCAACCTGATTCACCCAGTCCACTGTACGGACCTTTGTGGTGTGGGCCACTTTTTCCAGTCCCATGGCCTTAAAATACACCTTTATGTAGGACAATTAATTTTTGCAATCCTTTGAAAATACAGTTTATAATTTTATTTAATTTTTATTAATCTCTTCATCTTTCTAGAAATTCTACCACTTCTACTTATTGTGGGTGCCATTGCCATCCAGGCCTCCTTTGTGGCAACCGAGTCATTTGACTCCGATTTGGATGAGTTGATGTGTACAAATGAAGCTGATGGCACTCTGCTGCCCTTAACGGATGATTGCGAAGCCTATGTCTATTGTCTGTCCGGTATTTCTTTGAAAATACCTTGCATTTCTGGCATGGGTTTCAGTACCGTGCGGGGCGGTTGTGTCGACTATGCCAAGTCGAATTGTGTGCCACAGTCGCAGGAGGATGTAAAGCCAACAACAAAGGGCACTTGTGACAACGAACAGCGTCCGGAAAATCAGGCTGCCTGCGCTGGTCAGGCCTATGGTGCCTTGGTGCCATATCCGGGAGATTGTTCGAAATTTTTGGTCTGTATGTGTGAATATCCCACGGTAAAGGATTGTGCCGCAGGTACCTGGTGGGATAATTCGCTGAAAACGTGTAACTACCCTCAGTATGTGGATTGTCCTTGGAGTGGAACGGGTGGCAGTAGTTCAACGCCTGGCATCACTACAGCCAGTACCCCGCCGACTACAGATGGTGGATGGGGACTAAATTGTGTGGCGTATCCTGGCATGAGTGCTGACGTTTGTGTGGACTATGTTAATGGATATCTGTTGCGTTATCCTTACAATTGCAATGTCTATTTGAATTGTACCATGGGTTGTCCGGTCATGACCGATTGTCCTGTCGACAAGGTATTTAATGATTTGCTCAAGATTTGTGATACCCCGGAGACGGCCCAATGTGAAGAGTTGCCGTTGCCCAGTCCAACCACCACCACCACCTCGACCTCAATTCCAACCACCACTACTACCACCCCAATAGCCCCTGATACGACAACGGAGGAGCCCGACATTAACACCACCTTGGATTGGGGCAACAATTGTGAGGCCCCACCTGGCATGCAGTCAGACATTTGTTGGGAGCTGAAGAATGGCGTGCTCATGAGCTATCCCTATGATTGTAATGTCTATATCAATTGTACCAAAGGATGTCCGGTTATGGACTATTGTCCTGCGGATAAGGTTTTCAATCCGATTCTATTGATTTGTGATACCCCGGAGACGGCTCATTGTGTAGAGTTGCCAATGCCCACAACTACCCCAGTGGTGAGCACCCATACCACGGAGCTGTCCACCACGACAACGGAGGTGTCCACTACGACCACCGAGGAGATCACCAGCACCACTGAAGTATCCACAACCACCACCGAAGAGGATGTCACAACCACTCCTGGAATATGCATTCATCCCCCTGGAATTCTTGAAAACTATTGTGACGATCTCGTAGAAGGATCGGTTTTGGTATATCCTTACAATTGCTCAGCCTATATTAGCTGTCGTCACAATTGTCCCTATCTGGAATACTGTGAGGAGTCGAAGCTATTCAACAGCCTCTTGGGAATTTGTGATGATGCCAATAATGTGGAATGCGAGGAGCAACCCTATCCAACCCCCAGTACACCTGGGTCAACCACCACACCCGAATTGTCGACAACGCCTCAGCCGCCCTTTACACCCACCTTGCCACCCAGCGTGGATCAGGAAATGTGTCGCGACGAACCTGACTATACCGTTTTTCCCTATGAGGGAAATTGTGGTCAATATTTGGTGTGTTTGGATTCCAAGGTGGAGCTGATGGATTGTCCCAATGGCTGGTTGTTTAATGCCCAAATGAAGATGTGTGACGAGGCCGGAGAGGAGGTTTGTTACACCGAGAGCACCACAACGCCAGAGCCTACCACAAGCACCACCACCATCATCAGCACCACCACTACCTCGGAACCCATATTGGATTTGTGTTTGGGTCAACCTTCGGGCACCAGCTTCCCCTATCCCGAGAATTGCCAGAAATACTACTATTGCCGCAACAATGGCACCTATTATGTCCTTAACTGTCCCTATAACAATTACTATGATCCCATATCGGGTAATTGTGGTCCGGACATCTCACCCACTGCCTGCCAGGAGGTATTGACCACCACCACGGTGGCTCCCACGGAACCCACCACCCTAAGCCCAGAGCAGAAATGTGCTGGACAAGAGTTTGGCACGACCTTCCCTTATGAGGCCAACTGTAAGCAGTACATAATGTGTACGAATAATGGGGCCTATAAGATCATGAATTGTCCGGGAAATAATTACTATTATCCGGACACGGGCAATTGTGGGCCAAGTGATAATGTGGATATATGTCGTGGTACAACTACCACCAGTACAACCACTACCACCACCACCACTACGACCACCACTACCACTCCGAAACCAACAACAACCACCACCACCACAACCCCCAGCTCCCCAATTTCCCAGGGCATCTGTGGCAACTACACCCAAGGTGAACTCATTGAATACCCCGACAACTGCCACAAATACATTAGCTGTGTTCGACCCATACCCATTGGATTCTATTGCCCGGGTAACCTTTATTTCAATGTCGAGGAACAAAAATGTGCCTTGGAAGCCGCTGAGGGTTCCGACTGCTCCAGTTATCCCTCTAATGAAACCACTGTGGCTCCACCCACCCACATCTGTCAGGGCATGTCCGAGGGAGATACCCAAATCTATCCCGCCGATTGTCAAATGTATTATCAATGTCTGGGCAATGGTTACTACATGCTCCAGATGTGTACCCAAGGAGAATATTTCAATCCGCTGACACAGCAATGTTCCCATGACGTGGGTCCAAATTATTGTAAACAAAATTTCGATACCACCACCAGCACAACGGCCAGTACCCCCGTCACACCAACTCCCAAACCCCAGGGCGGTATTTGTTGGGAAAAACCGAATGGCTATAAGGTAGCCTATCCCAATGATTGTTCCAAATACATTGTGTGTAATACTCCCATACCGACGGGATACTATTGTCCAGAGGGTTTGCAATTTAGTTCGGAGGCCCAAACCTGTGTCCAGCCCCAGGAATCGGATTGTGGTCTAATAACTACCACAGCTGAGCCTCCACTACCCACAATGCCATGGAATGAGTGTACCGGCAAACCGGATTATACCCTGCTGCCCTATGAGGCCAACTGTTCCCTATTCATTGTTTGCATAAAGAATCTGGAACACAAAGCCTATTGTCCTGCGGGGCAATATTTTGATGTTATTCAGGGAAATTGTAGCGCTCAGGCCCATTCGGACTCGTGTATTTATGATTATGACACAACGACCACAGAAATCACTACAAGTACCGCCGTTACAACAACACCAACAACAAGCACCACACCCACGACTCCAAAACCCAACCTGGGTCCATGTTATGGTCAAGCCGATGGCACCAAAGTACCCTACCCCAATAACTGTAGCAAATACATTGTTTGCCACGATCCCATACCTGTGGCAACAGAGTGCCCTGAGGGTTTGGAATTCAACAGCGACCTGGGAGAATGTGTTCGACCCGAAATTGCCAATTGCAGTATCAAGACCACAACAGAGCCGCCAACCACCACCACAACCACCGCCAGTACTACCACGGAAGTCACCACACCCAAGCCACCGAATGTGTGTACCAATCAACCATCTGGCACCACCATCACCTATCCCTCAGATTGCTCCAAATACTATATGTGCCTAAACGGCAATCCCACCCTAGTCAACTGCATGCCAAATTCCTATTACAATCCGTCGAGCGGCCAATGTGATAGCTCATCACCGACAATATGTCAGCCCCAGACACCCTGTAATGGCAAAGAAAATGGCTATACCTATAGCTACAGCCAAGATTGTTCGAAATTTTATATATGCCTAAATGATAAACCCTATCTAACACAATGTCCCAGCAGCTCGTATTATAATCCGGCACAGGGTGTATGTGATCCCCAGACATCGGAATCCGAGTGTCAAGGCGATCAAAATACTACAACTGAAATGCCAATTACAACGATAGGAACTAGCAGTGAGTTGCCAACTACGACAAGTGAAATGCCTACACAGGAAGTGCCAACTACGACAACAGAATTGCCAACTTCTACAACGGAAATAACGTCAACAGAGACTACCACCGAGTTGCCAACCACTACAACGGAATTACCAACCACAGAGACTACCACAGAATTGCCAACTTCTACCACGGAATTACCAACCACACCCACGACTGTTACAACCACAACCGCAGCCACAACAAGTACCACTGAACTAACAACTCCAACCACAACCGAATCAAATCCCCCATCTCAAAGCCAAGGCAACATCTGTTGTGGCCAAGAAATCGGCACTCTCTTACCCTATCCCGGAGATAATACCAAATATGTAGTGTGCCTATATCCGGTGCCAGAAGTAGCCCAGTGCTTGGCCAATTCCACCTATGATCCGGAAACACAGAGGTGTCAAGCCCAGGACGACGGTTATGTTAGCATGCCCAGCTGTGCCACGGTACCCTTTGGCCAGGGATTGGCATACGAGGGTGATTGTACCAAATATTATCAATGTTTCGGTACAATGGCGAAAATTATGACCTGCGGTAATGGTTGGTATTTCAACGCCCAACTGGGTAGCTGTGTTCCAGCCGAACTTTACAACTGTCCATGGGATATGTAATAATGTATTGCGATCACTATATAAATAAATATGCACAAGAAAAATGCTAGTATTCAAAAGAATAAGAGTTTTAATGTTTCAGATTTGAGAATCAAGGTCGGAAAATAAGTTTGAGGTACTAAGTGTGCGAACTGTACTAAATGGTACTCAATTTGGAACAGTTTCGATTAAGGCAAACGGGTGAAGCTGGAATTTTGAAATTTTATATTGGGGTCCCTGTTAGCGGTAGGTTTGTGATAGGGTGGTGGTTTTTGAAAATTTGTACTAGAATTGTACGAAAAGTACTGAATAGTACAAAATTTGTTATTGGGTGAAGGGATAGAGATATAATTTTGAAATTTGATATTTAGAATACTGATGGTATCTGTGTTTGAAATATGGCAGTGGTTTGTGGAACTGCTTCCCATATTAGTACGCAAAAGTACTAAATGGTACTAAATTTGGTACAAATTGGAATGGGGATGAACCGACGAAGCTGGAGTTCTGAAATTTGGAACGAGTGTCACTGAGGGAGTAATATATGAAGGTGGTTTTGAAACTGTGTACTAAGTTAGGGAACTGTACTAAATGTGGAACAATTTGGTTTAATCTGAATCTGGATGAAGCTGAAATTTTGAAATTTTAGTACTGGGGTCCCTTTTGGTGATAAGTTCGTAATAAAGAGGGTTTTTCAGAAATGTGTACAACAAGTGCACGAAAAGTACTAAAAAGTACCACAGTGGGAAGAACTTGATATTGGGCGTATAGAGAGTGCTTGAAATCTGAAATTTGACATTAGAATCGCTGTTTATGTGTAGCCTGCACATATGGTGAGGGTTTCGGATATATGTACTATAATTGTAAGAAAAGTACTAAATGGTACTAAATTTAATAATGGGAAAAGGGATAGAGATATAATTTTGAAATTTGATATTTAGAGTTCTGAGGGTATCTGTGTTTGAAATATGGCGGTGGTTTGAAAATGTTGCCTATATTTGTACGAAAAGTACTTAATAGTACTAAAATTGGTATTGCGTGCAGGAATAGAGTTTTAATCCTCAAATTTGATATTGAGGTCTCTGTTGGTATCTGGAATTGAGATATGGAAGTAATTTTGGAAATGTGTACTATAATTGTTCGGAAAGTACTAAATGGTACTAAATTTGGTATTGGGTGAAGGGATAGAGATGTAACCCCGAAATTTGCGATTGAGGTCTCTCTTGGTATCTGGGATTAAGATATGGTAGTGGCTTTGGAAATGTGTTCTATAATTGTTCGGAAAGTACTAAATAGTACTAAATTTGGTAGTGGGTGCAGGAATGGAGTTTTAATCCTCAAATTTGATATTGAGGTCTCTGTTGGTATCAGAGATTGAGATATGGAAGTGGTTTTGGAAATGCGTACTATAATTGTTCGGAATGTACTAAACGGTACTAAATTTGGTATTGGGTGAAGGGATAGAGCTGGAATCCCGAAATTTGATTTAGATGTCACAGTGGTTGAGAGAAGGAGATGGTTTAGGAAATATGTCCTATACTTGTACGAAAAGTACTAAACGGTACTAAATTTGGTATTGGGTGAAAGGATAGAGATGGAATCCCGAAATTTGAGATTGAGGTCTCTCTTGGTATCTGGGATTAAGATATGGTAGTGGTTTTGGGAATGTGTCCTATAATTGTTCGGAAAGTACTAAATAGTACTAAATTTGTTTTTGGGTATAGGGATAGACCTGGAATCCCGAAATTTGATATAGATGACTGTTAGTGTCAGTGGTTAAGAGAAAGATATGGTTTTGGAAATGCGTCCTATACTTGTACGAAAAGTACTAAACGGTACTAAATTTGGTATTGGGTGTAGGGATAAAGCTGGAATCCCGAAATTTGAGATTGAGGTCTATTTTGGTATCTGGAATTAAGATATGGTAGTGGTTTTGGAAAATGTGTCCTATAAATGTTCGGAAAGTACAAAATAGTACTAAATTTGGTACTGGGTGCAGGAATGGAGTTTTAATCCTCAAATTTGATATTGAGGTCCCCTGTTGGTATTTGGAATTGAAATATGGAGGTGGTTTTGGAAATGCGTACTATAATTGTTCGGAAAGTACTAAACGGTACTAAATTTGGTATTGGGTGAAGGGATAGACCTGGAATCCCGAAATTTGATATAGATATCACTGTTGGTGTCAGTGGTTGAGAGAAGGAGCTGGTTTTGGAAATGTGTCCTATACTTGTACGAAAAGTGCTAAACGGTACTAAATTTGGTATTGGGTGAAGGGATAGAGCTGGAATCCCGAAATTTGATTTAGATGTCGCAGTGGTTGAGAGAAGGAGATGGTTTGGAAATGTGTCCTATACTTGTACGAAAAGTACTAAACGGTACTAAATTTGGTATTAGGTGTAGGGATAAAGCTTGAATCCCGAAATTTGATATTGAGGCCTCTCTTGGTATCTGTGATTAAGATATGGTAGTGGTTTTGTAAATGTGTACTATAATTATTCGGAAAGTACTAAATAGTACTAAATTTGTTTTTGGGTATAGGGATAGAGCTGGAATCCCGAAATTTGATATAGATGTCACTGTTGGTGTCAGTGGTTGAGAAAAGGAGATAGTTTTGGAAATGTGTTCTATACTTGTACGAAAAGTACTAAACGGTACTAAATTTGGTATTGGGTGAAGGGATAGAGCTGGAATCCCGAAATTTGATTTAGATGTCGCAGTGGTTGAGAGAAGGAGATGGTTTGGAAATGTGTCCTATACTTGTACGAAAAGTACTAAACGGTACTAAATTTGGTATTAGGTGTAGGGATAAAGCTTGAATCCCGAAATTTGATATTGAGGCCTCTCTTGGTATCTGTGATTAAGATATGGTAGTGGTTTTGTAAATGTGTACTATAATTATTCGGAAAGTACTAAATAGTACTAAATTTGTTTTTGGGTGAAGGGATAGAGCTGGAATCCCGAAATTTGATTTAGATGTCGCAGTGGTTGAGAGAAGGAGATGGTTTCGGAAATGCGTCCTATACTTGTACGAAAAGTACTAAACGGTACTAAATTTGGTAGTGGGTGCAGGAATGGAGTTTTGATCCTCAAATTTGATATTGAGGTCTCTCTTGGTATCTGGAATTAAGATATGGTAGTGGTTTTGGAAAATGTGTCCTATAAATGTTCGGAAAGTACAAAATAGTACTAAATTTGGTACTGGGTGCAGGAATGGAGTTTTAATCCTCAAATTTGATATTGAGGTCCCCTGTTGGTATTTGGAATTGAAATATGGAGGTGGTTTTGGAAATGCGTACTATAATTGTTCGGAAAGTACTAAACGGTACTAAATTTGGTATTGGGTGAAGGGATAGACCTGGAATCCCGAAATTTGATATAGATATCACTGTTGGTGTCAGCGGATAAGAGAAAGATATGGTTTTGGAAATTTGTCCCATACTTGTACGAAAAGTACTAAACGGTACTAAATTTGGTATGGAGTTTGAGGAGTTTGAATGGAGTTTTAATCCTCAAATTTGATTTTGAGGTCTCTGTTGGTATCTGGAATTGAAATATGGAGGTGATTTCGGAAATGTGTACTACAATTCTTTTCCGCTAATATTGAAAAATGAGCTCGGGGAGAAGTTTTTGAAATGCCAAAAAGTGCAAGAACTTACACCGGAGCAGAAAGAAAATAGACTGAAAAGAGCTTCGCCACCACCAAAAGGGGTGAATTGCCGAATTTTGGGTTTCTCTGATCTCCGATGATAAAACATTCGTTGTCCAGCCGAACAATGTAAACAAACAAAATAATCGTGTTTACTTGCCAAAGAGGTCAGGTCAGCTGAAAATGTGCACCTTCGGTTGGTTGGTATTATCGCGAAAATATTCTGGAGGGAGGTATTAAAACCTTGGACACGCAAACATTTTGGCCGCAGACCTTGGACATTCCAACAGGACTCAGCACCATCGCTTCAAGTACGAAGTTAGAAACAATACAGGAAAAGAGGTTGGCCAAAATCTTCTAAATGCCCAATATAGGTAGGTATCGTTATATGGGGGCTACATGAAGACGTAGACCTGCATAGGCAATTTTTTTGTGTCACAGGCTGTAGTACCCATTACAAACTCCAAATACCAAAATATCGCACGCACCACCCAAGAATGGTTACAAAATGAGGTTTCTCGCTTCATTTCCAGCGTACAATGGCCACCAAAATCGAATCAGGATACCAATCCGTTGGACTATTGTGTCCGGAGTATTTTGGAAAACAAGGTTGGCACTAAAAAATTCCAAAGCAAGCACTTCGCCGGGAATGAGCCAAAATACCGCAGAGCAACATTCGGGCAGCATGTAATGGCTTCATTGGCCTTTTGAAGGCCATAATTCGTGCCAAAGGTGACCTACATTCGAACCAATCTAAACTTATTCTAAAATTTCAGGCTATTTTCGATATTTTTTCTTTAATTCAATAAAATTTAAAAAAAAAACAAATGGCTTTTGACTTTGTTGCAGTTTTTTTTTATCTCACCCTGTATTTTCGTCTAGATTTCGGTCGTTTTTCTTTTCTTGAATGCTTTGTAAAGCTTGTTCTCTTTCATAACAAATAAATGTCGAACTGTTCATGTATCGCCATCTGAAGCCCAATGAGTTTTCATTCGAAACTATCGCACCTGTGAGCCACCGTACAATCTTGTAAGATATTTGCAAAACAAGATCAAATTGTTTTCTGATTCGAAATTAATTATCTGTAACACAATGTAGATAACATTTGTTTTGTTTTTATTTTTCTGGTAGTCATCAATTTTGGGAATTTTCTCCAGAACCTCCGAAGCAAATAAAAAGCAAAGACCGAATAAAATTTTCAATACATTCAACAATAACGTTGCAGAATGAGAGGAATAGCTTGCCTTCAACTTGGAATCGTCTTTCTTTTGCTTCATGGCGCCATGTGTGGTGACATAAGTTCAGAAAGTGAGGATGGAACCAACGACAATGGATCAAGCGGAGAACAAGGAACGAATAGAAGCAGCAGCATTGAAGAACTTGAAAATCCAGGGGATGTGTCGAAACCGGCGGTCACTCCCGATAATAAAGAACTTTTGGAGGTGAATTTTTTTTATTTTATTTTTTTTTTTTTTTTTTTTTGATTCTGAAAATATATTTTATTTTTACCTTCTTTACTCTTCTTCCTCTCAAGCTATGTGAAAATGCCCAAAAAGGCATCATACCATATCCAAAAGATCCTCAACTTTTTGTGGTGTGTCTTGTTAATCCACCCACTTATGGAGACTGTGGACCTCTGTGCTTTGATAAAACTGATAACACATGTAAGGGTTGTCCTCCAGATACTTTGTTATGTGACGGCAAAGACATGTTGAGCATAGTCAAGTCTGATTGCCACCAATATTATATCTGCATGGAGCCTCCCCTCGCAATAGAATGCCCCTCAAATCAACATTATTCCGAAGCGGTGAAAAAATGTGTGCCAGCCATTGACGCCGATTGTCTGCCATTTAATAGCTGGTGTAAAAATCAACCGGATGGCTTACGTTTCGAATCGAAAAACTGTTATGAATACTACGAATGTCAGAAGGAGCAAATCCTTTTGAAAACCTGCAATTACAATGAATATTTCCATAAAGAAAATAGCAGCTGTGTTCCCGGCTTCTGCGGCACCAGCGATGACAATTTAGTGGAACGCGAACCCATCTGTACACAGGCAATGGAGGGCATGAAGAGTACCCATCCCAAGTGTTATAAATACTATGTTTGTCTCAATAAGTTGGCCTATGTGGGCCAGTGTCCCACTGGGTATTATTTCAATGCAACGGCGAAAAAATGTGTAATCGACACCAATGAAGTGTGTAACGATGATTGAGGTCTTGATTGAAATATGTCATTTAAGAAAAAAAACTCAATAAATGCAGAATTTACAAAAAAAAAAAAAAAATGACATAAAATATTATTTTTGAAAGGACTAACAAAGAAAGGGGGATGGAATGCTGAAGATGAAAAGAAATCCGCAAATCCCAAAGATTTGTATCTTAGAAGATTCTTAAAGGATAGCTCTGTGGATTTTAAACCAGTCAAAAGTAGACAACTTCCAAATAACACGTATTACAGTTATATGGGGGGCTATACGAAAACGTAGATCTTTTTTCAGTCAGTTATCTGTGAGAGCAGGAGGTGCCTATTACGAAATTCAAATTCGAAATTTGAAAAAATATATTTACTGTAACCGACTTCAGACTGTTGTCAGTTCTAAGCCACTTGTCCGAAAGCTGTTAAAATTATTCCAGTGACAGCTTATTATATTGTTGACAAACGTTCGAAAACATTTTGGTGAGAATTTTCCATGAAAAAGCGTTATTCGTGATGCGTGATTCAAGCGGGATATGGTTGGAATTCAGCAGAAATGGTTTATATTTGGCTGGAAAACCACAAGTGGCTATCGATAGAACACAACAACATTAAAATGTGAATAAATCGTTTGTGTCTCGTACCCCTATCGCTCGTTACCGTGATACGGGTAGCGTAGCCCCCGATGTCATGGAAGTGGACGGAAGAAATATCAGCAACATCAGCAGAAATGGTTCGAAAAGTAAAGAAGCGGCTTGATCGAAACCCCTCGTCGCAGTGGCCGAAAAATGGCTCGTGAGCTGAACATATCGCAATATTTCATTTGGCAAATATTGAAAAAATGAGATCGGGATAGAGCCATTGAAATTCCAATAAGTTAAAAATCAGTAAGTTCGGCCGGGCCGATCATTGAATAACCTCCAATATTTGGAACGAATTTGGAAATAAAATCCTAACAAAAATTCTGTTAAAATTTAAAAAAAAAAATACCGAATATAGCCGTTATATTGGTGTATATACGACGTGAACCTACATGGGCATTGTTTGTCATAAGTCATGACCATATTCAAATTCGAAACTTGAAATAAACGGTGAATAATGTAGCCTAAAATCATCAAAATTTCTGCCATAGGCTGTAGCATCTATTACGAACTTCAAATACGCGTCTCAAACAATTTCGGTGGGTATTGTACCTAAACTCGTCAAAATACCTAATATAGGGAAGGAGGTAATGGTATGTAGGTCCTATACGAAGACGTGGACCTGCACAGACAATTTTCTGTCTTAGGCTGTAGTATCCATTACGAACTTCAAATACCAAATTTTAAAGAATTCCGGTGAATAATGTCGCTTAAATTGCAAAATACCGAATATCGGGAGGTACCGTTATATGGGGGCTATTAGAAGACGTGGACCTGTACAGACAATTTTCTGTCACATACTACAGCTCCCATTACGAGCACTAAATACGAAATTTGAAACAATTCTGGTGAATAATGACGCTAAAATCATCAAAATAGCGAATATTGGGAGGTACAGTTATATGGGGGCTATACGAAGACGTGGACCTGCACAGACAATTTTCTGTCACATACTACAGCTCCCATTACGAGCACTAAATACGAAATTTGAAACAATTCTGGTGAATAATGACGCTAAAATCATCAAAATACCGAATATAGGGAGGTACCGTTATATGGGGGCTATACGAAGACCTGGACCTGCACAGACAGATTTCTGTCTTAGGCTGCAGTATCTATTACGAACTTCAAATACCAAAATTGAAACAATTCCGGTGAATAATGTCGCTAAAATTATCAAAATACCGAATATCGGGAGGTACCGTGATATTGGAGCTATACGAAAACGTGGACCTACATGGCCCATTTATAATTTTTTATTTTAACCTGCTTACTGGAAAAATAAACATGTGTGCAAAATTTTAGCCTTCTATCTCAATTCGTTCAAAAGATAGCGTGATTACAACAGACTGACGGACAGATAGGCAGACAGACGGAAGTGGCCAAATCGACTTAGAATTTTATGCTGATCAAGAATATATATATACTTTGTTGGGTCTGACATGAGTATTTCGAGGAGTTACAAAGGGAATGACAAAGTTAATATACCCTCCATACTATGGTGGAGGGTATAAAATGTGCAAGAACTTACACAGCAACAGAAAGAAAATAGACTCGAAAGAGCTAAAGTGTTGCTTCGCTTGGCCGAAAGAGGTGAACTGCTGAATTGGGTTTTCTTCGATCTCCGATGAGAAAATATTCGTTGTCCAGCCGAACAATGTAAACAAACAAAATGATCGTGTTTACTTGCCAAGGAGATCAGCTGAAAATGTGCACCTTCGGTTGGTCACCAGAACTCAAGCGCCGGCCATGGTGATGGAGTGGGCCGCCATAACAGCCGATGGTCGCTCTCTGCTTGTATTAATCGACCGTGGCATCAGAATAAATGTCTAATATTATCACGAAAATATTGTGGGGGTGGTATTAAGGCCTTGGGCACGCAAACATTTTGGCCGCAGACCTTGGACATTCCAACAGGACTCAGCACCACCGCACCCAGCACGCGCCACCCAAACACCCAGCACACAATGGCCACCAAAATCTCCGGATACCAATCCGTTGGACTATTGTGCCTGGAGTATTTTGGAAAGCAAGGTTGGCACTAAAAAATACCAAAGTGTCGATCACCTCAAGCAAGCGCTTCGCTGGGAATGAGCCAAAATACCGCAGAGCAACATTCGAGCAGCGTGTGACGGTTTCATTGGCCGTTTGAAGGCCATAATTCGTGCCAAAGGTGACCAATTCGAAATCGTTTTAGCTTCATGGATATTCAAAATATTGACCCTTTGTGGGGAAGGTGCCGAACGGAGTGGACCGATACATTCCATCTTCACAGCAGATTTTGGATAAGTAGAAATAATGGGATGTGTGAAATATGAATAGAACCGGATTCTTATTTCGGATTTTTTAATCGGTTTGTTTATTCAAGACTTTTACCCTTTGTGGCAGGAGGTACCAGAAGAAATGGCCGGATCTCTACCAACTTCATAAGAGATCTTGTGTTGATTGAAATATTGAGATGTGTGAAGTCTGAATAGAGTCGGATGTTAACTTAGCGTTTGATGAGCCTCATGGATATTCAGAACTTTGACCCTTGGTGGGGGAGGTACAAAAATGAATTGTCCGACCTCTACCATCTTTATAACAGATCATGTATTAATAAAGAAATATTGAGATGTGCCAAGTCTGAATGGAATCGGATGTTAATTATGCGTTTGATGAGCTTCATGGTTATTTAAAATGTTGACCCTTTTGTGGGGGAGGTACCAGAAGGAGTGGACCGATATATTTCATCTTCTTATCTGACCTAACACTGATATAAATATTAGGATTTGCAAAGTAGGTGCAAAATGGGATTATCCTTCTTTCTCTTTCGGTGCAGTAAAATATTTTTTTTTTTTTTTTTTTTGAAAATTTCGACCTTTTGTGGGGGAGGTACCAAAAGGAGTGGACCGATATTGTCCATCTGATTTTATTTTATTTTTTTTTTAAAGATTTATTTTGCGCAGTACATGTAATCGGATTCTACTCCGCATTTGCAGACTACATAAAAATAATCACGCCTGGCCGTTGTTACCCTCTTAAATACGGTTCACACATCTATCGATTCGCCTTGGCCGCTTCACACTCACCCATCACACATGCGTTGACGATTTCATTCCAATAGGTATTTGCAGGACATATCATCAGAATGGCATTCTTGCCAATGCATTGTATAAATTGTCTACAATTCTCTGGGTCAGCTATAAATTCGGTAGTGGCATTTTGGCATATTGCCAGCTGTGGTGAATACAAGTCCAGGGCATGTTTTCCTGTACGATTTATTGTACGATTATTGTCCGCATTTGAAGTTATGACTTCATTGCTCCCTTCGAATTGCCTCACTTGGGGTTGGGTGTCCTGAGATGTTGTTTCAAAACTGACATCAGCATCTCTAGATTCGGAAGTTTGAGATGAAGAATATTGAGATGTTAACCTGGCAGGGGTGTCTGTTTCCGTGGCGTTTGAATAATCAGATTCGGTTTTTGTAGACTCTAAACTTTCAATGTTTGAATTCAGGGTTGTGTTTTCGGGGTTGATTTCCGCTCCTGGTGTTAATTCGTTCTGATTCGAAGAACTAACAGTATTTTCATCACCGGAAGTAGCAGTCCCGGCTTCCCATTCTGGTATCGAAGTATTCAGCTTAGTGATTCCTTCAGAGTCAGCGGTTTCTGAGCTAGTTGTTGAAAACTCATTTCCGGGATTCTGGTTTGTTGCTTCCGACATCTTTTCGGTATAAAAATCAACGAGCGTCTCCGTGGAGTTTAAAGACGCTCCTCCTGGCTTGTGGGTTGTAACTTTCGAATTTTTGTCGGTTTGAGAATCAGTATCTGAGTTTGTCAATCCCGTAGTAATTTTTCCCAATGAGTCTGAGGTTGTTACGTTAGTCTCATGACTGGGATTCTGGGTGGTTTCTGTGGCAGTGTGAGAATCTGCTACCACTTCTGTGGATCCTGAAGTTTCAAATACCGCAGTTTGTGCCGTTGTTGCCGACGAGATAATCGTTTGCGTGGCATTTGAATTGTCATCACCACTCGGAGAGTCAGTTGAGGGCTCCGTAATATCTGTGTTTTCAGAAGGGCTATACGTTTCATTTGATTTGTGGTCGCTCAGAAAATCAGCTTGAGGTTCCGTAGAGTTGGGAGTAGGATTCTTTGTCTCAATAAAATTTCCATAGTTCTCCGAGTCAGTTCCTGCTTCCGTGGTGCCTGAGATACCTGGTGAACTACTCGTTTCTGTAAAATTTCCATCACTCCGATAATCAGTCGCTGGTTCCGTCATTGTTTCTGAGATCCCAGCGGAGCTACTTGATTCAGTGGAATTTCCATCTCCATCACTCTGAGAATCAGTAGTTAGTTCAGTTGTTGTTTCTGTGGTTCCTGCGGAGCTATTTGATTCAGTGGGATTTCCATCACTCTCCGAATCAGTTACGACTTCGGTGGTACCTAAGGACCCTGGTGAGCTACTTGTTTCAGTTAAATTATCGTTGTTCCAAGAATAAGTCGCTGGTTCCGTTGTTGTTTCTGAAAATCCTGAAGAGGTAAAATTTCCATAACTCTCAGAGTCAGTTCCTGCTTCCGTAGTACCTGAAGTCCCTGGTGAGCTCCCCGTTTTAGTTAAATTGCCTTCACTCTGAGAATCAGTAGCTAGTTCCGTTGTTGTTTCTGAGATTGCTGCGGAGCTATTTGATTCAGTGGAATTTCCATACCTCTCCGAATCAGTTTCGGCTTCCGTAATACCTGAGGTCCCTGGTGTGGTACTCGTTTCAGTTAAATTCTCATCACTCTGAGAACCAGTTGCTGGTTCACTCGTTGTTGTTTCTGTGGGTCCTGCGGAGCTACTTGATTCTGTGGAGTTTTCATCACTCTCCGAGTCAGTTTTGACTTCAGTGGTACCTAAGAACCCTGGTGAGCTACTTGTTTCAGTTAAATTGTCGTTGTTCCATGAATATATTGCTGGTTCCGTTGTTGTTTCTGAAAATCCTGAAGAGGTAAAATTTCCATAACTCTCAGAGTCAGTTCCTGCTTCCGTGGTGTCTGGTGTGGTACTCGTTTCAGTTATATTTCCATCACTCGAAGAATTAGATGCTGGTTCCCCCGTTGTTGTTTCTGTGAGTCCTGCGAAGCTATTTGATTCAGTGGAATTTCCATCTCTCTCCGAGTCAGTTACGACTTCGGTGGTACCTAAGGACCCTGGTGAGCTACTTGTTTCAGTTAAATTATCGTTGTTCCAAGAATAAGTCGCTGCTTCCGTTGTTGTTTCTGAAAATCCTGAAGAGGTAAAATTTCCATAACTCTCAGAGTCACTTCCTGCTTCCGTGGTGTCTGAGGTACCTGATGAGCTCCTCGTTTCAGTTAAATTCTCATCACTCGGAGAATCAGTAGCTAGTTCCGTTGTTGTTTCTGAGATTCCTGCGGAGCTATTTGATTCAGTGGAATTTTCATACCTGTCCGAATCAGTTATGGCTTCCGTGGTGTCTGATGTCCCTGATGTAGTACTCGTTTCAGTTAAATTGCCATCACTCTGAGAATCAGTAGCTAGTTCCGTTGTTGTTTCTAAGGTTAAAGCGGAGCTATTTAATTCAGTGGAATTTTCATACCTATCCGAATCAGTTATGGCTTCCGTGGTGCCTGAGGTCCCTGGTGTGGTACTCGTTTCAGTTAAATTATCGTTGTTCCAAGAATAAGTCGCTGGTTCCGTTGTTGTTTCTGAAAATCCTGAAGAGGTAAAATTTCCATAACTCTCAGAGTCAGTTCCTGCTTCCGTGGTGTCTGAGGTACCTGGTAAGCCCGTCGTTTTAGTTAAATTGCCATCACTCTGAGAATTAGTAGCTAGTTCCGTTGTTGTTTCTGTGATTCCTGTGGGGCTATTTGATGCAGTGGAATTTCCATACTTCTCCCAATCAGTTATGACTTCCGTAATACCTGAGGTCCCTGGTGTGGTACTCGTTTCAGTTAAATTCTCATCACTCTGAGAACCAGTTGCTGGTTCCCTCGTTGTTTTTTCTGTGATTTCTGCGGAGCTATTTGATTCAGTGGGATTTCCATTACTCTCCGAATCAGTTATGGCTTCGGTGGTACTTAAGGTCCCTAGTGAGCTATTCGTTTCAGTTAAATTGTCGTCATTCCATGAATCAGTCGCTAGTTTCGTTGTTGTTTCTGAAAATCCTGAAGAGGTAAAATTTCCATAACTCTCAGAGTCAGTTCCTGCTTCCGTGGTGCCTGAGGTACCTGGTGAGCTCCCCGTTTTAGTTGAATTGCCATCACTCTGAGAATCAGTAGCTAGTTCCGTTGTTGTTTCTGAGATTGCTGCGGAGCTATTTGATTCAGTGGAATTTTCATACCTCTCCGTATCAGTTATGGCTTCCGTGGTGCCTGAGTTTCCTGGTGAGCTACTCGTTTCAGTTAAATTCTCATCACTCTGAGAACCAGTTGCTGGTTCCCTCGTTGTTGTTTCTGTGGGTCCTGCGGAGCTATTTGATTCAGTGGAATTTTCATCACTCTCCGAGTCAGTTATGGCTTCCGCGGTGCCTGAGGTCCCTGGTGAGCTACTTGTTTCAGTTAAAGAATCAGTCGCTGGTTCCGTTGATGCTTCTGAAAATCCTGAAGATGTAAAATTTCCATAACTCTCAGAGTCAGTTCCTGCTTCCGTGGTGTCTGAGGTACCTGGTGAGCTCGTCGTTTTAGTTAAATTGCCATCACTCTGAGAATCAGTAGCTAGTTCCGTTGTTGTTTCTGTGATTCCTGTGGGGCTATTTGATGCAGTGGAATTTCCATACTTCTCCCAATCAGTTATGACTTCCGTAATACCTGAGGTCCCTGGAATGGTACTCGTTTCAGTTAAAATGCCATCACCCGGAGAACCATTTGCTGGTTCCCTCGTTGTTGTTTCTGTAAGTCCTGCGGAGCTATTTGATTCAGTGGAATTTTCATCACTCTCCGAATTAGTTACGGCTTCGGTGGTACCTAAGGTCCCTAGTGAGCTACTCGTTTCAGTTAAATTATCGTTGTTCCAAGAATAACTCGCTGGTTCCGTTGTTGTTTCTGAAAATCCTGAAGAGGTAAAATTTCCATAGCTTTCAGAGTCAGTTCCTGCTTCCGTGGTGTCTGATGTACCTGGTGAGCTTGTCGTTTTAGTTAAATTGCCATCACTCTGAGAATCAGTAGCTAGTTCCGTTGTTGTTTCTGTGGGTCCTGCGGAGCTATTTGATTCAGTGGGATTTCCATCACTCTCCGATTCTGTTTCGGCTCCCGTGGTGCTTGAGGTCTCTGGTGAGCTACTCATTTCAGTTATATTTCCATCACTCGGAGAATTAGTAGCTGGTTCCCCCGTTGTTGTTTCTGTGGGTCCTGCGGAGTTATTTGATTCAGTGGAATTTTCATACCTCTCCGAATCAGTTATGGCTTCCGTGGTGCCTGAGGTCCCTGGTGTGGTACTCGTTTCAGTTAAATTCTCATCACTCTGAGAACCAGTTGTTAGTTCCCTCGTTGTTATTTCTGTGGGTCCTGCGGAGCTATTTGATTCAGTGGAATTTCCATACCTCTCCGAATCAGTTATGGCTTCCGTGGTGCCTGAGGTCCCTGGTGTGGTACTCGTTTCAGTTAAATTATCATCACTCTGAGAACCAGTTGCTGGTTTACTCGTTGTTGTTTCTATGGGTCCTGCGGAGCTATTTGATTCAGTGGAATTTTCATACCTCTCCGAATCAGTTATAGCTTCCGTGGTGCCTGAGGTCCCTGGTGTGGTACTCGTTTCAGTTAAATTATCATTGCCTCCTGAATCAGTCGCTAGTTCCGTTGTTGTTTCTGAAAATCCTGATGAGGTGTTGGATTCAGTAGAATTCCCATCACTTTCGAAGACAGTTCCTGCTTCCGTAGTTTCTGGGTTATCAGTTACCAAACCCTCAGTGGACGTTCCCAAGGCATCTGTGGTTTTGGTGACAGTATTTGAAGATTCATCCTCGGAATTTTGGGTTGTTGTTTCCGTTGAGTTGTCGCCAACTTTTTCTGTAGAACCTGAAGATTCATGTTCTGGATTTTGGGTGGAATCTTTTGTTGAAATATCTGTGGGAGAGTCCGTTCCTGTGACGGTAGATCCTGGTGTCTGATATGCCAAAGTTTGGGTTGTTGTATCAAAAGATATTTCAGTGAAGTCCGAAGTTTTTGAAACCGTAGCGGTAGTTTCAGATTCTAAGGTTTGGGTTGTAGTTTCCAAGGTTATGTCCGTAGTGTGGGAAAATCGATGCGCCACATTTGGAGTAGTTATTTGGGTATTTGTATTGGTTTGATTTTCGTCGGTCATTGTCCCAGTAGGATCGGGGGTAGTAGTTGCGGAGGTTTTGCCGGTAGTCGATGAAGAATTTTGAGGGCTGTTTCCTTCGGTGCTCGCATCCCATTGGGGATCTGTTACCGGTTCTGTAAAATCAGATGTAGAGATTTCAGAAACTGAAGTCTGAGCTGTAATCTCACCATTGCTTTGGTTTGTATCCGACGTCCCGTGTTCCAAATCTGGAGTCGCCGTAGTTATAGAAATGGTTGTTTGTGGGGAATTTGTGATGGGAGCCGTGGAATCGGTTATCTCGGATACTGTACTTGAAAACCCATTAGTTTCGGGATCGATGACATCTGTTGCAGGATTTATTTTTTCCGTAGTACTAATGATGGTCGTTTCGTCCTCACAAGTTCCCATAATACATTTCCCCTCATCCTTGTTCCAATAGGTGTGCAGAGGACAGGACAGGATTACTGCAATTCCTTTAAAGCATTGAATGAAATTTCGACAATTATTCGGATCGGGATGGAATGAAATGCCATCGCCGCAAAATGACGCCGTTGTACTTGTACCGGGAGTTGTGGAGGTGGTCGAAACGGTTGTTGTCTCTGGTTCGAGGGTGGTGGTAGTGGTGGGAATGAGGGTGGTGGTAGTGGTGGGAATGAGGATGGTGGTTGTGGTGGGAATAGGGGTGGTGATTGTGGTGGGAATGAGGGTGGTGGTTGTGGTGGGAATGGGGGTGGTGGTCGTGGTTGGAATGGGGGTGGTGGTTGTTTCCTGTTCCGTTACTACGGTGGTGGTTGTCGCCTCTGGAATTTCCGTGGTTGTTGTCGGCATTTCTGTAGTTGTTGTCTTAACGGAATTTGTAGTTGTTGTGGTATCAAATTTCTCAGTTGTAGATGTCGTCGAATTTTCACTGCTCGTTGTAGTCTCTTCGGGCCATGTAGTGGTAGTAGCTTCTGTTATGCCAGGGGTGCTGGTGGTAGTAGTTGTTTCCGGGTTTTCCACACATTCCAGTCTTCGGCAATTTCCTCCGGCACTAGCCCAAGTAAAGTGATAAGGACATGTTAGGCTAAAAAGAGTTCCATTCCAGCACTGCTGAAAGGAGTTGACATTGTTGGGGTCACCTTGGAAATTTTGAAGATAATTGCAGTGGCCCAGGCGTTTCCTGCAAGTACCCACAATGCAGGCGCCCAACGTGTCCTCCCAATAAGTAAATCGTTCACATGCCATTGTACTGGCGACTCCATCCAGGCATTGTATATAATTTCGGCAATTTTCCGGATCGGCATGATACGACAAGCCGTAGCTGGGACAAATGCTGGGCGAAAGTGTTGGCAAGGCGGGTACAGTGGTGTTGCCAACAGTTTCGCATAGTTCCTGGCCCACAATGCAGGCCTGGATTTTCTCATTAAAATATAAATCATACGGGCATTTTCTTTTCTCCAATCGACCCTCAATGCATTCCCAGTAGTGTTGGCAATCGTAGGGATCGGCATGAAGCTCCTCACATACATCACATGGTGGATTCGAAGAAGTGGTGGTGATGGTGGTGGTGGGTGAAGGATACTCGGTTGTTGTCACATTTGGCCAATAAGTCGTGGGAGTTTCGGATGAGTTTGAGGTTGTTGTTGTGGCAGGTGAAGTTCCAGCTGTAGTTGTGGGGGTTGTGTGTGATGTTGTGGTTGGAGGGCTAGGTGTGGAAGTTGTGATTGATGTTGTGGTTGAAGGGCTACAAGTGGGAGTTGTGTGTGATGTTGTGGTTGGAGGGCTAGGTGTGGAGGTTGTGGTTGAAGGCCTACAAGTGGGAGTTGTGATTGAAGAACTTGTGGTATAGCCACAATGCTCCGATGATCGAATGCAAGTCAAATGATCTTGACTCCAGTAGGTACCTGGAGCACAGGGTTGCCGTATGGGTACACCATTACTGCACTGTATAAAATAGCGACAATCTTCTGCATCAGGATGATACATTTGACCATTTGCACAGATATTTCCAGAAGCTGTGGAGGATGACGTACTACCAGTTGTGGAGAATTGTGTAGAAGTGCTCCCAGCCGTAGTGGGGCTAGCAGTAGTAGAAGAACTCTCGGTGGTGGAACTTCGAGGCGTAGAAGATCCTCCCGTCTGCATTTCACAATGATCCGATGTACGAATACAGGTTAAATACTCTTGACTCCAATAGGTTCCGGGGGCACATGGTTGCCGGTAGGCCACCCCGTTACTGCATTGTAGAAAATAACGACAATCGCCTGGATACGGATGATACATTTGACCGCTTAGACATATCGAATTGTCCACACTACGTCCTCGGACAGGATTCACATAAACTATCGACATGGCCAAAGCCAAGGATATGAAATATTTCATGGTATATTATTTCCTTTCTTTTTATCCGAAACGATTTGAGCTTTAAAAGAAATTTTCAACAAATAATTTTCCCAACCTCCGAACGGTGGCTATTTATCAATTCTTTTCTATTTGCTTTCTTTCAGCGTCAGCGTTGTGAGTTCTTATCATTTCATTAGAACTAAACATTGAATATTTTGAAATCGTTACGTTTATTTGATAAAAGTACAGATAAGAGTTAATCAATTTAAATTTACATAAACGGAACAACCCCCCCACCTTTGTTATACACCCTCAGCCATATGGCTAGAGAGAGGGTGTATATCATTTGATATGGCCAAAACGTGACTCACCGAAATTACGTTTGAAGACCCTAGGTCTCTTTGAACCAAATTCATTTCAGAACATTGAGAGTCGATCTAGTGATGTCCATCCGGGTGCGCACCATAACTTTCAAAGGAAATATCCGATTCGGTCCAAACTTAAGACATCGTAACATTATCCTCAAACTTAGATCGAGTTCGGAGATGGGCAATATCGTCACACAAAAGGTCGAAATTTTCAAAAAAAAAAATATTTTACTGCACAGAAAGAGAAACGATCATCCGATTTTGTTACAGCTTTGCAAATCCATTTTTTTTTTCATCCGTGCTAGGTCAGGTGCGAAAATAGACAACTTCCTTACAAAGGGTCAAGATTTTGAATAATTTTAACTCTCATAAATGTGATGTAAGAGTCCGATTGTCCTTAAATTATACACAGCCCATTATTTCTACCAACCCACAGGATCTGCTGTGAAGATAAAATATATCGGTCCATTCCCTCTGGTATCTACCCCCAAAAAAGGTTGAAATTTTCCAAAAAAAAATGGTTTACTGCACCGAAAGAGAAAGTACCATCCGATTTTGCTCCAACTTTGCAAATCCATTTTTTTTCATCCGTGCTAGGTCAGTTGCGAAAATAGACAACTTCCCCACAAAGTGTCAAAAATTGTTGTGGAGGACAGGACAGGATTTTGAATAATTTTAACTCTCATAAAATGTGATGTAAGAGTCCGATTGTCCTTAAATTATACACAACCCATTATTTCTACCAACCCACAGGATCTGCTGTGAAGATAAAATATATCGGTCCATTTCGTCTGGTATCTACCCCAAAAAAAGGTCGAAATTTTCCAAAAAAAAATGTTTTACTGCACAGAAAGAGAGAAGATACTCCGATTTTGCTCCAACTTTGCAAATCCTAATATTTTCATCAGTGCTAGGTCAGTTGCGAAAATAGACAATGTCGGTCCACTCTTTCTGGTACCTTTCCCACAATGTGTCAAAATTTTGAATAATTATAACACTTATAAATTGCGATGCAAGAATCCGATTGTCTTCAAATTACACACATCATAATATTTTTATTAAACCAATGTCCAGTGTGAAGATGGGACATATCGGTCCATCACTTCTGGTACCTCCCCACAAAGGGTCAATATTTTGAATATCCATGAAGCTCATAAAACACGAATTTCAATATTTCTATCGACACAAGGTCTGTTATAAATATGGTAGAAATCGGACTATTTCTTCTGGTACCTCCCCACAAAGGGTTAACATTTTGAATAACCAAAACGATCATAAAATCCGAAATAAGCATCCGGTTCTCTTCATATTTCACACATCCGATTATTTCTACTAACACAAGATCTGCTGTGAAGATAGAATATATCTGTCCATCACTTCTGGTACCTCCTCCACAAAGGGTCAACATTTTCAATATCCGTAAAGCTCATAAGACATCCGATCATGAACTCCGATTCCATTCATACTTGGTACATTTCAATATTTCCATCAACACAAGATATGTTATAAAGATGGTAAAGATCGGACCATTCTTTCTGGTACCACCCCCACAAAGGGTCAAAGTTTTGAATAACCAAAACGATCATAAAATCCGAAATAAGCATCCGGTTTTCTTCATGCTTCGCACATCACAATATTTTTATTAGCCCAAGGTCCGGTGTGAAGATAGAATGTATCGGTCCACTCCTTCTGGTACCTCCCCCACAAACGGTCAAAATTTTGAAAATCCACGAAACTCATAAAACGCGATTTTAACATCTGATTCCATTCAGACTTGGTACATCTAAATATTTCCATCAACACAATATCTGTAATAAAGATGGTAGAGATCGGACTATTTCTTCTGGTACCTCCCCACAAAGGGTTAAAATTTGGAATAACCAAAGCTATTGTAAATTCGGAAATAAGCATTCTGTTCTCTTTATATCTCACACGGCCCATTATTTCTATTTACACAAGATCTGCTGTGAAAATTAAATATATCGGGCCACTTCAACATTTTGAATATCTATGGAGTTCATAAAACGCGAAATTCTTATCCGATTCCTTTCAGCCTTGCTACATATCAATATTCCCATCAACACAAGATCTGTTTTAAGGATGAAATATATCGCAAATATATCGACCCACAAAGGGTCAACATTTTGAATATCCATGAAGCTCATAAGACATCCGATCATGAACTCCGATTCCATTCAGACTTACATCTTAATATTTTTATCAACACAAGATCTGTTACAAAGATGGTAGAGATCGGACCATTTCTTCTGGTACCTCCCACACATAGGGTTTAAGGTTATGAAAATCAAAAGCTCAAAAATAGCGAAATTAGCATCCGACTCTCTTCAAATACACACACATACAAACTTATATACATACACAAATAATCAACTACATTATACCCCATAAGATTAGTTTGAACAGCAATTGTATATGGTTACGGTTATGGAAATATTTCGACTCTCTTTTTAAACTAATCCAAGCTAACCAAGCAGGTTGTCATAATTTCCAATAACACTTTATCTCATGGCTATTTCGATTTCTTGCCATAAAAATGTGGAAGTTTCTTTAAGACGGAAACACACACACTTCGATATTATCAACATCTAACAAAGACCAAGAAAAAAGTTAAACATTTCAAGACAACAAAACACTTAAAAACACACAAGTATTTGTTGAAACGGCTACTTGTTATTGTTTTTCCTATTGATAAGGAAGATACATTTTGAAATGTGATACCGCTTCCACCGATCTATCATGTGGTAGCAAAATGCTTGATTTATGACCATAAAAACGGCTGCATTAGCATTACTCTAATGAAAACAATTAAAATATAAAGCATACTTTTAGGCAATGCCTGTAAATAAATATATATGAAGGAGTATTGAAATAACTGGGGCTGACTGACCAAGAATCGATGACAGAAATTTTGCACGAGGGTCAGTCTTGGTGCATAAGGCCGGGTTTTTGGGAAATTCGTACCAAAAATGATACGCAAAGTACTAAAATATACAAAAAATTGAATATCTTGTAGTGGACAAACCAAATGAGCTAGGAATCTGAAATTTGAGTGCAGTATAGATATACCAAAGGGTTTTTGGAAATTCGATCGTTAAGGTTATGAAACGTTCTAAAATGGTACTAAACTTCCAAAAAGCATGGTACCATTTCGTATCATGTTAAAAACTTGAAATTTTCAATGGGAATCAAGATTGGGAAGTAGAGTCAATGGAGGGAGGTAGTTGTGGAAGTGTTTACTCATGTATACGAAAATGTACTAAACGGTACTAAATTTAGTACAATTTGAAGGAACGAATAGAGCTGGAATCCTGAAATTTAAAATTAACATTTCTGGCGAAGTGTAGGATTGGGATATTTATGTAGTTTTGGAATTTTTGTACTTATATGTACTAAAATGTACGAAATAAAGTACAATTTTATTTGGGTGAACCAACAGGGGTGGAAGCCTAAAATTAGGAATTGGCATTACTGTGGGAGTGTAGGATTGGGGTATGTAGGAAGCTTTGGAACTTCGTAGATAAGTGTACAAAATGGTATTTTATTAACATTACCGGCGGAGTTTGGGATTGGGATATTTTGGTAGTTTTGGAAATTTTTACTTATATGTACTAAAATGTGAGAAAAAAAGTACAATTTGTATTTGGATGAACCAACAGGGGTGGAAGCCTAAAATTAGGAATTTGGTCGAAATTGGAATTGTGATGAACCGATGAAGCTGGAATTCTGAAATTTTGAATCCGGGTCACTGATGGAGTGATAAATGAAGGTGGTTTTGGAAATATGTACTAATTGCGGGAACTGTACTAAATGGTACTAATTTAGGAACGTTTTGGTTCAGTGTGAACGGATGAAGCTGAATTTTTGAAATTTTTTATTGGAGTCCCTGTTGGTAGTAGTTTTTGCAATAAAAAGGTGGTTTCAGAAATGTGTGCACGAAAAGTACTAAATAGTACCATATTTGGTACAATTTGGTTTTGGGTGAACAGAAAGTGCTCGAAATTTGAAATATGGTATAAGGGTTGGTAGCCTGGACATATGGCGGTGGTTTCGGATATTTGCACTATAATAGTACGAAAAGTACCGATGGGTACAAAGATTTGGTATAGGCGGAAGGGATAGAGATAAAATTCTAAAACTTGATATTTAGATTACTGAAGGTATCTGTGCTTGATATTTGGTAGTTGTTTGGAAATATGTCCTATAATTGTACCATAAGTACTAAATAGTACTAAATTGGGATTTGGGTGCAGGAATGAAGTTTTAATCCTCAAATTAGATATTGAGGTCTCGGTTGGTATCTGGAATTGAGAAATGGGAGTGGTTTTAGGAATGTGTACTATAATTGTTCGAAAAGTACTAAATAGTACCCAGTTGGATATTGGGTGAAGAGATAGAGCTGGAACCCTGAAATTTGATATGGATGTCACTGATGATATGGTGTCTGTGGTTGAGAGAAGAAGCTGGTTTTTGGATTTGGGTACTAATATTGAACTAAATGGTACCAAATTTGATAATGAGGAAAATTAAAGAGTTGAAATCCTGAAGTTTTTTTTATTAACGTCTCTGTTGGTATTTGGGGTTGAGATATGGAGGTAGGAAGAAATGTCTACTGTAATTGTTCAAAAAGTACTAAACTGAACTAAATTGGATATTCAATGAAGGGATAGAGCTGGAATTCCGAA